CTTAGGAACACTGAGGCAAAGAACTCGTTGAGGAGTTCAGCCTTGTCCCCCCTGTCCGTCACCAATTGCTTCTGCCCATTTAGTAGGGGTCCTATTCCTCCCTGGGCCTTCCTTTTACTCCCTATATATCTAAAAAACAATTTCTTGTTGTCTTTTACTTGGGTTGCCATCCTCAGCTCCATGGCAGCTTTGGCCCGGCTAACTGCCTCCCTACAAGCACGAGCAGAGGAGGTATATTTGTCTTTGGTGATCTCTCCCTGTTTCCACTTTTTATGTGCTCCCCTTTTGGCCCTTAGGCTGCCCTGGATTTCTCTGGTCAGCCAAGGAAGCCTCCTGGCCCCCTTCCCTCCTTTTCCTCGCATCGGGATCATCTCACTTTGTGCCTGAAGGATCATTTCGTTAAGGCACAGCCACCCTTCTTGGGCTCCCATCACTTCAAAACTCCTACTCTGTAGTGTGTCCTTGACTAATTGCCTGAGTTCATTGAAATCAGCTTTCCTAAAGTCTAGCACTTTCACCCTACTAGTTACCTTACCCACTCGACGTCTTATGGTGAATTCTATTATTAGGTGATCACTGTCCCCCAGATGGCTACCGATCTGTAGGTCCCCTACCATGTCATCCCCCGTTGCCAATACCAGATCCAGTATGGCATTCCCCCTAGTGAATGCCATACTGAAATTCACTGATAACACAAAGATGTGGGGAGAAGTGGGCACACTGGAGGGGAGGGACAGAATTGAACTAGATCTAGACAGGTTACAGAGGCGGGCGGATGAGAACAGAATGGAATTCAATGCAGACAAGTGCAAGGTGCTACATATAGGGAGAAGGAACCTGCAACATACCTATAGGCTGGGGAACACCCTTCTCCTCAACACAGTGGTGGAAAGGAATCTTGGAGTCAGTGTTGATTCCAGGATGGACATGAGCCGCCATTGTGAGGAAGCGGTCAGTAAGGCTAACCACACCTTGTTGTGCATCTACAGATGCATCACAAGCAGGTCCAGGGAGGTTATCCTTCCCCTCTATGCAGTGCTGGTCAGGCCACAGTTGGAGTACTGTTTCCAGTTCTGGGCACCGCACTTCAAGAGGGATGTGGCTAACCTTGAGAGGGTCCAGAGGAGGGCCACACGCATGGTCAGGGGGCAGCAGCCCAGACCCTATGAAGATAGACTAAAGGGCCTAAATCTATTCAGTCTCCATAAGAGAAGACTGAGAGGGGATCTAGTGGCCATCTATAAACTCACTAAGGGGGACCAGCGAAAAATAAGTGAGGCTCTGTTCCCCCGGGCACCACATAGGATAACAAGGAATAGTGGTCACAAATTGATTGAAAACAGGTTCAGGCTTGATATCAGGAGGCATTACTTTACAGTTAGGGCTGCCAGGCTCTGGACTGGGCTCCCAAGGGAGATAGCTTTCCCCTACCTTGGGGGTCTTCAAGAGGAGGTGGGATAGATATTTGGCTGGGGTATTATGATCCCAGCACTCGTTCCTGACCAGGGCAGGGGGTCAGATTTGATGATCTGTTCAGGTCCCTTCCAACCCTGGAAACTATGAAACTATTAATTTTATTTAGTTATTATAATTTAACAAATTCTTTGCCTCTATTTTTCTGAGCAGGGACCAGGACATCATCCCCACTGGGATTCAGGACAGATTCAGGAGTGACTCCACTAGGCCTAGGGTCAGGGAGGACTGAGTTAGGGAACTTCTGGAGGGGCTGGACATGTTCAAATCAGCAGGTCCAGACACTCTCCACCCTAGGGTGCTGAGGGAATTGGCAGGGGTCATTGTGGGGCCTCTGACACAGCTTTATGAGCACTTGTGGTGCTCTGGCCAGGTGCCAGAAGACTGGAAGAAGGCCAATGTGGTCCCCATCTTCAAAAAAGGGAGGATGGAGGACCCAGGCAACTATAGGTCCATTAGTCGTACTTCGGTCCTGGGGAAGCTCTTTGAAAAAATTATCCAGGAGCACATCTGGGAGGGACCAGCAGGGGTCAGGATGTTCAAGGGCAACCAGCATGGGTTCATTAAGGGCAGGTCCTGTCAGACCAACCTGATAGTCTTCTACAATCAGGTCACAAAATCACTGGACGCAGGTGTCGCGGTGGATGTAGTCTTTCTGGACTTCAGGAAGGCCTTTGACACTGTCTCTCACCCCATTCTCATTAAAAAGCTAGGTGGCTGTGGCATTGATGCCTACACAGTCAGATGGGGGGCAAATTGGCTAAGGAGCCGCATCCAGAGAGTGGTGGTGGATGGGTCATATTCGACCTAGAGGGAGGTGGGCAGTGGAGTCTCCCAGGGCTCAGTCCTTGGGCCCATACTATTCAGTTTCTTTATCAGTGACTTGGACAAGGGGGTGAAAAGCACCCTGTTCAAATTCACTGATGACACCAAGATTTGGGGTGAGGTGGGCACGCTAGAAGTGAAGGACAGGATACAACTGGACATGGACAAGTTACAGGGTGTGTGAATGTAAATAGTATGGGATTCAATTCTGACA